ACTCCCACCGAGACGTTTGTCCATATTCAAACAAACCAGAACAAACCCTCAGTCCACACAATCTGACACATAAACACTGGATGCAGACGCAGAGACCGTGTTAGTATGCAGAGCAAGAGAAGCATTCTTACAAGCGTGCAGTAAAATAAACGCCAGCGATACAAACACACCAGAAGCTCATTACTAAATCAATACACACACACACACACACACACACACGCATAAAACAAACACTCTCCTTCACAAATGCATTAACACACAGACCCATGTAGAAATGACGCAGCTCAAGGACAGTCAGGAGGGCACACTATTAATTATATGCATGAACACAGCGACTGTGTGAATACAAGCAGCCATACAGATGAAGATAGACACACTGACAGACGGGTCTGAGGTCTGATTGCTGGTGCTTATGTATCATTAGCTAAGCTGGGTGTGTGCGAGTCCAATAGAGAGCCAGCAAGAGAACAATGATCACTCACACACTCACTCACTCACTCTCACACACACACACTCACACACACACTCACTCACTCACACACACTAACACACTCACTCACTCACACACACTAACACACTCACTCACTCACACACACTAACACACTCACTCACTCACACACACTAACACACTCACTCACTCACACACACTAACACACTCACTCACTCACACACACTAACACACTCACTCACTCACACACACTAACACACTCACTCACTCACACACACTAACACACTCACTCACTCACACACACTAACACACTCACTCACTCACACACACTAACACACTCACTCACTCACACACACTAACACACTCACTCACTCACACACACTAACACACTCACTCACTCACACACACTAACACACTCACTCACTCACACACACTAACACACTCACTCACTCACACACACTAACACACTCTCACACACACACACACACTCACACACACACCAGTAACACCCTCTTTACACCTGGTATTAACATCTGACTCGGATGGTCTGAGCATAAGTGGACGACACTAAATACCAGACCAGTGCTGTTACTGTAAACTAAAACTATTAGAAATATTTTATATTAAATTAAATAATGCTGAAATAAGAAAGTAAAATATAAATATTACATCAAAAACTTAAACCTAATAAATACATTTAAGTACTAAAATTACTGACACATAAATATAATGAAATATTTGGAAATTATAAATAAAAAATATATTAAAAAAAATATTGAACAACTAAAACTAATTAAAATTACAAAAGTACATAAAACTACTCAAACTTAAATTAAATCAAAGCTGAAAATAAAAAATTAAAAGCTCATTCAAAATGTTACTAAATAGTATATAAACAATACTCTAATAACATTATTTTAATAGTATATAAATACCAAAATAAACAAATTAAATGTAAAAAGTACTAAAACTGAAATAATATAATTTAAATAGAAATAGAAATTAAATAAAAACGAATGAAAATGACAATCACATAAAAACTACTAAAACTTAAAACTGAAAATATAAAATTGATATAATAAATAATAATAAAAAAAATATATATATATAAATATAATAAATATATAAATAATACTAAAATAAACAAAAATATAATTAAAACTAAAACTAAATGAGTTTAAGTACCAAAATTAGTCCAACTAAATCTGAAATAAATATATAATCAAAATGTAATCATTAAAATTGTCATGAATTTCATCACAACATTGTGAAAAAATTTCATTAATGTTTTCAGATTTGCTGAATATTACATTTACATGGTTATTAAATTATTCATGTTTTTAAATATTAACTTAACACATTAATTTACATATGCAATTCTCTCAAATGATACAGAAATGACACACTGCGACTTCAAAGACAGTTCTGTTATGCAGTGCAGTTTAAAAACATTGGACCAATCAGAAGAATCTGGGGGCGGGGCGAGTGTTTATTGTAACATCTGACTGCTCTCAAATCCTCTTATTAATATCTGAATCCTGGCTCAGTGTTGATGGTTTTGGAGGCGTCTCACCTTGTCGGCGTTGTCGGCCGCGAGCAGGTTGGTGGCGAGCGTCTGCAGCTTGTGTTGGGCCATGTTCTTGAGCGCAGCCAGACTGCGGCGGGTCATGGCCTGCTTCAGGTTCACCGCGGGGTGATTGAGGGAGTCCAGAGCGGCGGGAACCACCTCGTCACACGCGTTCAGAATCTCCACTGCCGTTATACCCATCACACAGCGGTCCAGTGCTCCTGAAACACACACACAAACAACACACTCAATACAGGAGTTATCCGCTACTGTGTAATCTAAATTGTAATCTTCATTTAGTTTATGTGAAAGTACTAAAACTGAAATGAAAATTAATTTAAAAAAAAATTAAGACATTTTTAAAAAAATAAAAAAATGACAAAAACAGCAAAATGACTGAAAGATTAACTAAAATTACAATTAAAATATAAAAAGTAATAAAATAAAATTAAATAAGTTTAAGTACTAGTTACTAAAAACTAAACTTGAAAAAATATAATTAAAAGCTAAATAGAAATATAAAAAAACGAATAAAAATGACAAAAACATAAAATTACACTCAAAAACACTTACTAAAATTCAAATGAAAGTATAAATAAAAAATTATAAAAAATTAAATAAGTTTTAGTAATAAAATTATCAAAACTAAATTTAAAAAAAAATGTACAAAAAAAATTAAAAACTGAAATCATTTAATTAAAAGCTATAAATAATTTTAAAAATAAAAATACAATAAATTTTAAGTACTAAAATTATAACTGAAAAAAATAATTAAAAGCTAAATAGAAATATTTAAAAAATTGAACTGACAAAATCACGGCAAAATTACTAAAACTTCAAAAATTTAAATATAAAAAAATAAATGTAAAACAAAATAATTTCAAGCACTAGAATTCCAAAAACTAAAACTGAAATATAAAATATAATTAAAAAAATATATATATAAATATAAAATATATATATGTAAAATATATAAATATAATATATATACAGGTACATCTCAATACATTAGAATGTCGTGGAAAAGTTCATTTATTTCAGTAATTCAGCTCAAATTGTGAAACTCGTGTATTAAATAAATTCAATGCACACAGACTGAAGTAGTTTAAGTCTTTGGTTCTTTTAATTGTGATGATTTTGGCTCACATTTAACAAAAACCCACCAATTCACTCTCTCAACAAATTAGAATATGGTGACATGCCAATCAGCTAATCAACTCAAAACACCTGCAAAGGTTT